AGGGGCTGCCACAGAGAGGAGGGGTCCAGCTATTTTCCAAAGGCACCTGAAGTCCAGTCAAAGAATAATGGATGGAAACTGATCAAGGGGAGAAACAACCCATGTCATCCAACATCTTGTCAACGTCCTGAAATAAGGAGAATTTTTTTGACAGTGACAACAATTAATCAGTGGAACGTGTTGCTTTCAAGAAGTTGTAGGTGCTTCATCATTGGAGGCTTCCAAGAAGAGACTGGACAGAGACTGTCCTGCTTGAGCAGATGGTTGGACTAGATGGTCGCAAGGTCCCTTCCAACTCTGTTATTCTGTCATTCTAAACGTCTATTTCTAACATTCTCTTTGGGCATCCTAGGTTGGCTCATCCAACAGACCAACAGGGTCATCCCAGTTGGTGGAAGGTTTGAGGGGGAGAGCTGGCAGCAGATTCGGACAGTGAGGAGGTTGGGGTGGAATATGGGCCAGTCCTGGAGTCTGGGGAAGGCTCTGATGAGGGCTCTGTGTCGGAGGCAGAGAGGGGGCTAGGGCCATATGCCAGTTATCGGCTGCCTTCAGAGTCAGACATCAGTGAGGCAGATGAACAGCTGGAGCCTGTTCCCAGTGTGCACATGCACAGAGTTGCCAGACGAAGGGAGTAGCTAAAGAACAGGGGTCGACGTGGGAGTAGGGCCACAGGTGGATGCTGAATGGCCCCTCCTAGAGGAAATAAAAGAGGAGCAAAAGGTGAGTGGAGTTTGCCGGAGACAATTAGTTTGCTTAATTGGTTCGTGACTCTCCGAGACTCCTTGCCAAGTTTTGCAGATATCAGCCTGTCAATTCTCCAAGCCAGATAAGGTCTGTGACTATAAATCCTCCCTTGAAAGGCTTTGCTGAATGTGAATGAGCAGAATTCATAGTAAATTAATAAAAAGGTTTTTTGTGGGGGTCAGGAGTTTGCTTCATGTCTTGGGAAGCTTAGGTCAGAACAAGCAGTAAGAGCGTAAATATGCTCAGAATGCTTTGAAATCAGAAAATGTGGGGCTGAATACATCACAATGTAGTTCCTAACACAGCATAACATCTTTCATCTTCATTTTCTCTTCAGCTGTTAACAAAATGTTGACCCAGGAAATCAAGACGACCTTTAAACAGGAAGAAGAGGAGAAGGTACAGCAGGAGGGGCCCCCCTTGAAGGACTTTAGAGAAGTGCAGGACACACCTGAGGAACGTGTGGTGCAGAAGAAACACAACTGTTCCATCTGCGGAAAGAATTTTTGCCGCCGCTCAGATCTTGTCCGACACCAGAAACTCCACTCGGGAGACAGGCCCTTCACCTGCACCAAGTGTGGGAAAGGATTTGTCCAGAGCACCCACCTCATTGCCCATCAGAAGAGCCACACCCGAGAAAAGCCCTACTATTGCCCTCACTGTGGCAGGAGCTTCAATCAGATCTTGAACTTCAACAGGCACCAGAGGACTCACTCCCAGGAGCCCCCTTTCAAATGTTCCGACTGCGGGAAAACCTTCAGCCGCAGCTCCAACCTGATCATGCACCAGAGGACGCACACGGGAGAGCGACCCTACAAATGCTTTGACTGCGGGAACAGCTTCAGTCGGAGTTCCACCTTGGTGACTCACCAGAGGACCCACACCGGCGAGAAACCTTTTAAGTGCCAAGACTGTTGGAAGAGCTTCGGCAGGCGCTCCACCCTGGTCATGCACCTGCGGACTCACACCGGGGAAAAGCCCTACAAGTGCTCTGACTGCCCTGAAACCTTCAGCGTGAAGTCTGGCCTTCTGAGTCACCAGAGAATCCATATGACCGAGAAGCCCTACCTGTGCCTGGAGTGCGGCAAAAACTTCTGCCGCAGTGCGGACCTCATTATACACCAGAGAATTCACACTGGAGAGAAACCCTATCAGTGCAACGCCTGTGGCAAGAAATTTAATACGAATTCCCACCTGGTGACGCATCAGAGGATCCACACGGGAGAAAAACCCTACAAATGCCCCGATTGTGGGAAGAGCTTTTCTTATAGTTCAGTCCTGGTGGGTCATCAGAGACTGCACACAGGAGAGAAACCTTACGCGTGTCTTGAGTGTGGGAAGACTTTCCGTAACAATTCACATCTCATCACTCATCACAGAGTCCACTCAGGAGAGAAGCCTTACACGTGCCCAGAGTGTGGTAGAAATTTTAGTGTAAGTTCAAATCTTACAAAGCATCGGAAAATCCATGAACGAGAGACATCCTTGAAATATTCTGAGTAGGAAACGCCAGTGGATGGAATTCTGATTAACTACCCAAGATGCTTAAAAAGAAGATAAAAAAATATATGGCTTATTCGGGAAATTTTGCTAGAAAGTCCAAATGTTTGCAGTAAGGTAAAGGTAAAGATCCCCCCGCACATGCGTGCTAGTTGTTCCCGACTCTAGGGGGCAGTGCTCATCTCCGTTTCAAAGCCGAAGAGCCAGCACTGTCTGAAGACGTCTCCGTGGTCATGTGGCCAGCATGACTAAACGCCAAAGGCGCACAGAACACTGTTACCTTCCCACCAAAGGTGGTTCCCATTTTTCTACTTGCATTTTTTACGTCCTTTCGAACTGCTAGGTTGGCAGAAGTTGGACAAGTAATTGGGATTCGAACCGCTGAACTGCCGACCTTCTGATCGACAAGCTCAGTCACGCAGTGGTGGGATTCAGCCAGTTCGCACTACTTCGGGAGAACTGGTTGTTAACTTTCTGAGCAGTTTGGTGAACTGGTTGTTGAAAGAAATCATTAGGGCAGAGAACCGGTTGTTAAAGTATTTGAATCCCACCATTGGCTGAATGTCTTAGGCACTGAGCTACCGCATCCCTACGTTTGCAGTAAGGAAGGCCAAAATGAAAGTAGACGTAAGATAGCAAAGAATGTACAAGTAGTCCTAGACTTATGACCACAATTGAGCCCAAATTTTTCATTGCTAAGCAAGACAGTTAAGTGAATTTTGTCCCATTTTACGACCTTTCTTGCCACAATTCTTAGTGAATCACTGCAGTTGTTAAATTAGTTACATGGTCATTATTAAGTGAATCTGGCTTCCCCATTGTCTTTGCTTGTCAGAAGGTCACCAAAGTTGATCACATGTCCCCAAGACCCTGCAACCGTCATAAGTACATGCCAGTTGCCAAGCATCTAATTTTTGATCATGTCACCATGAGAATACTGTTAACAATCAATGGTGTGAAAAACAGTCATAAGTCACTCTTCTCAGTGCTATTGTAACTTTGGGTAGTAAATGAATGGTTGTAAGTCAGGGACTACCTGTATGCCTTATCTTATATGAAAGAATTTCATTATTAAAAGATCCCTGATGTTTTTTTTTTAATCTCTTTAAGAATAGGATGTGATGAGGAAGATGTATTAAGTTCAGATTCTGCAACAAGGAAACAAGCATGTTTTTCTTTCTCTCCAAAATAATGTAACACAAAAAAAGTATATTTGCATACTTTTACTTGCTTACTTGCGATTGCAAAATCCTAATTTTTAAGATATCGTGGAAGCCTAATATACGGAAATTATGGAAAGATACAGTAGAAGTAGGGAGAGGGGCTTTTTTGTGTGGCAAAGTTACACATTTGGGGGATTCCAGTTGTTTAGGACAGTCATCAAGAACTGTCAATCAACTGTGAGGCAAATAGTTCAAAATACTGTTGGAACTTAAAATGTCTGATTCAGTTCTGCTGTAGCTGCTATGCTGTTAAGTGGCTTGAGCATTGCATCAACAGAAAGGCAGGATATGATAAATAAAGATGGTCTTTTTACTTGGCTGCCAACAGTGTAGGCTACTGTGTGAACCTTAACAGCTTTTATTTAATCCACCAAGGAAGATGAAGATGTGCAAAATAAAATGAATTGCCCCCCCCCCCCCAACTAAGTCCCTAATAAGACCTAGCTTTCTTTAATTTTTGTGAGTTCATAGGCCTCTGAATTTTCTATACAGCCTTAAGGATTACAAAGCTAGTTTCATTCCAGCATTCCTAGTTTCTGTGTCAAGATACCTGGTTTTGCTGTCTGGATGTGAAAGTCACAAATGTAATAAATTGCTATTGATATGCTCTTAATTTTTTGCTGACGCACAAAGCTAACTCTGTTGTTGTTAAGTGTATCAAATCATTGGAAAACTTGGCAAAGTAACTAGTATACAGGTGCCGTGTTTCTCCGAAAAATAAGACAGGGCCTTATTTTCTTTTGACCTCCGAAATAAGCGCTTGGCCTTATTTTCAGGGTGATCTTATTATTTGTGAGGTGCAGGAGGCCCCTTAACCTTAGCCCACGGCCCATGGATCAGCTGATCCAGACAAGGCCGGGAGTTCTGTATCTGGCACACTCTTGCCAGCCCTAGCCTCGCTTGGCCTGTTGCTCTTTTTGTGGCCGCCACTAAGAGAAGGGGCGCCGTAGCTAGGATTTGTGGGAGCAGCCTCTGAGGTCATTTGCGTGGATGGCAGGTACCTGGAAATGGCCAGCACCAGCTATGCATGCATTTAAATATTTTAGGGGAGGGCTTATTTTCAGGGGAGGGCTTATTTTAGTGCATGCACTCAAAAGCCCGATTGGCCTTATTATCCAGGGAGGTCTTATTTTCAAGGAAACAGGGTAGTCCTCGACTTATGATGACAATGGAGCCAAACATTTCTGTGGCTAAGGCAGTTGAGTAAACTATGCCCCAATTTATGACCTTTTTTTTTTGGCCACTGTTGCTAAGCAAGTGACTGCAGCTGTTAAGTGAATCATAAGGTCATTAAACAAACCTGACTTCCCCCATTTACTTTACTTGCCAGATGCTGGCTGGGAAGGTTGCAAGACCCTGGAACAGCGCAGCTGTCACAAATACACGCCAATTGCCAAGAACCTGAATTTCGATGGTGTGATCATGGGGATGTTGCAATGGTTCTAAGTGTGAAAAGTGGTCATAGGCCACTTTTTTCAGTGCCATTGTAACTTAGGTCATTAAATAAATTGTTGCAAGTCAAGGACTACTTGTAATGTAGTTCACACATCGTGCCAAGCCTTCATTTTTGTTTGCTTTTGACCTAGGGTGGTGTGTGAACCCAGACAATGGTAGCTTGTTTAATAGAAACAGCACTAGACATATATATATATATATCACTCCATAGTGCTTTACATCAGCGGTCCCCAATCTTTGCAGCTTGGCAGCCCACCTTGATGGCGGGGGAGAGGCGAACCGGGCTGTGCAAGTGGTGGGCTGGGGCACATGTGCATGTACACACTGCTCGATTAGTTGAGCTGCGCAGACATGCATGTACGCAATGGTCCACCACTCATGCACTCATGCATGCTGGCCTGCTGCTCGCAGGGCCCGGTTACTATTAGGCGACGGCCTGGTAGAGAGTGGAGGCCTGTGGGGTTGGGGACCCCCAGCTTTATGGTGCTCTCTGAGCGATTTACAATGTCAGCCTATTGCCCCCAACAATCTGGGTCCTCATTTTAGGATGGAAGACTGAGTCAACCTAATACAATAAAGGCAAGGCAAGGCAAGCCGTTCCACTGATTAATTGTTCTGTCAGGAAATTTCTCCTCGCTTCTAAGTTGCTTCTCTCCTGGATTAGTTTCCACCCATTGCTTCTTCTCCTGCCCTCAGGTGCCTTGGAGAATAGTTTGACTCTCTCTTCTTTGTGGCAACCCCAGAGATATTGGAACATTGCTATCATATCTCCCCTAGTCCTTCTTTTCATTAGACTAGACATACCCAGTTCCTGCAACCGTTCTTCATATGTTTTAGTCTCCAGTCCCCTAATAATCTTTGTTGCTCTTCTCTGCACTCTTTCTAGAGTCTCCACATCTTTTCTACATCGTGGCAACCAAAACTGACCTTGAACTGGTCAGAATCAAACTTCTGATTGTGGGCAGAGTTAGTCTGCAAAACTGCATTGTAAGCACAGTGCCACCACAGCTCTTAATATACTGTG